CCAATAATAGCTGCAGAAAGCCAATGATATACAGTAATATACATGTCATTGAAAAATATGAATTGGAAAGCCATAAGCATACATAATCCCCCCATAATACACTCATAAACTGAAAAAAATTACATTGTAATAATTAAATAATTCCCCTTTTCATCCATAATAAAATTTCCCTTTCTAACCACAAGAAATGAGACAGATTGTTTTTTCTGCACACACATGCATGCAAAAACGCAAAAAAAACCCAACAATTTAAAATAAAACTTAAGAAAAAAAATAAATACAGCAATTTCATGATATGCTCCACAATGCAGGCATAAGGACTTTGAACTTGTGACTGGTATAAATTAGCACTATATTTATCACTGTGTGACTTTGAACTTGTGACTTGTATAAATTAGCTCGATTATTATCACTGTCTATCCTGTTGTTCTCGTTGAAGCCTTTCTATAACCAGATTTGTCTCCCTTACCCCTTTGTTGTCACCGCTTTGTTGCAGGGCGTTCCTAAGATTTGCCCAGAATGGAATCATGTCTGGCTTTACCTGTGCCCTGTAAATTGATCAAATTAATAAGATACTTAATACTGTGAATTTCTAATTATACGCAAGGAATTGTTTAAATTATCACATCATTATGCATGAAGCATCGCTCGAGAAATAAAATTACTCTGTTATTTTTTTTTTGGCACTGAAATCCATGTAAATTCTTTTGATCAATCTTCCATTTGTGAAAAATTATTCTCGCACTTTGATGCTGAACAGCCATTTTGCGATAATAAGTACTTGCGAAAAATAAGGAATCTACAGTAGTTAATGTCCATTTAAAACCCTCAACAATTTCTCATTTCTCATGTTAAAGATAGAAAATGGTAACTGCCCGTATGAAAGTTCAAGGCGGAATAGGCAAGGCTTGGGCACGGCTACGACATGGAATCCGCATGGGATTTTAAAAAGCCGCACGGGTTCTGTATGTCCAAGACATGGACATGGCTTCCGTGTCTGAAAGTTAGGAATCCTCACTCACAGAAACCCGTGTGGAGGCAGGGAATCCATGTCCCAGGAAGACGGTTTTTAACTTAGGCGGGTTTTCATTATACTATTGATATCTCACAGCTTTTTACTGAGCATGGTCAATCATAACTTCCTTCATTTGAATATTAAATTGGAGGGATTCATGATCATGAGCTAAGTCAATGTGTCTTATTTGCTCTATTTAAAGGATATTTAACTAAACAAATGTCAGTTGGAATTATAATATTTATGTCAGTCTGGGATAATTTCTTCATTTTTGAACTAAATGCACTAAGTGTTATCTAGAATAAATAAGTCGATTTTTCAATTTCATGCATGATCTCCTTTATAGTATATATTTTATGTGACATCACTGTGCTAGTGAAAGTTTTATTTAAAGTAAATTCTTTCTCAGATTGTGCAGAATTAGCTACTAGATTAATTTACAATTGAATAATTTGTATACATTATCATTAAAATCTTAATTAAAAACTAGCATGGATTGTAACTGATAAATTTAATTAATCCTTGACAGAAAGTAAATGGACACATTCATACAAGATTTTTAACTTTTCAAATTCTAAAGCTAAGCATAATGATAATGTAAAGCATTGTGAAGTTTAATGGTTTCAGTCACCATTTTTGCATCCACAGTTACATCAGGAGATTCTCTAAAGGCCACGACCTAGATTTAAACAAATGCACAGATCCCGTGAATCCTTATATGGTATACAGCATTGCTTTTTAGCTCACCTGAGCCAAAGGCTCAAGTGACCTTTTCTGATCAAAATTTGTCCATTGTCTGTCGTCGTTGTAGTCGTTGTCGTCGTCCTAAACTTTTCACATTTTCGACTTCTTCTCAAGAACCGCTGGGCCAATTTCAATCAAACTTTGCACAAAGTACCGGGTATCCTTGTGTGAAGGGGATTCAAGTTTGTTCAAATAAAGGGCTACGCCCTATTCCAAGGGGAGATAATTATTAATTGGAGAAAAATTCATGGCATTTAAAAAAAAATCTTCTTCTTAAGAACCACTGGGCCAGAAAAGATGGAACTCATGTGAAATCATCCTCAGGTAGTGTAGATTTAAGTTTGTTCAAATCATGACCCCCGGGGCTAGGGTGGGGCCAAGATGGCCAACCCAAGTTTTACATAGAAATATATAGGAAAAATCTTTAAAAATCTTCTCCTCAAGAACCACTGGGCCAGGAAAGATGAAACTCATGTGGAATCATCTTCAGGTAGTGTAGATTCAAGTTTGTTCACATCATGATCCCCGGGGCTAGGGTGGGGCCAAAATCGTTGACCCAAGTTTTACATAGGGATATATAGGGAATCCTTTAAAAAATTTCTTTTCAAGTATACTACAAATCTATGATTAGTGATATTTATATGGAATCATCCTCAGGTAGTGTAGATTCTAGTTTGTTCAAATGATGAATGCCGGGGTTGGTTGGTTAAATTCATGTGCGATGTGCTCAGATGAGCGCTGTGGCCCCTGGGCTTCTTGTTTGACACAGGTTTCTAAAAAACCGTGTCTACATGTATGGAAAAGGACACGGGTTTCAGACACTGATTTACAGAATCCGTGAGTCCATATATGGAAACAAGCACAGCTTTCTGACACGGGTTTTGGAAAACCGTTTGATCTCATTTAAATATATCGGCCTATATCCTGTGCCGTGTCCGTGCATCGACCACTTATAGGCCCGGCTTACCATACATACTTTCATAGGAGCACGGAATGCTAAAGCACGAGTTTCTGGAGACGGAATCTGTGCCTGAGCCGTGTCTAAGCCCCCCGGACTGTTTCGTACGGGCAAGAAATTGAAAATTTCAAAAACAATTCTGCCAATTTCATAGAAGGTGAAATTTTTAATCATTTCTAGCATTATCTAATTTCATTAGAGGTACCTTTTTGACACTTATTTTCCCTACCTTTCTGAACATTTGTGCTGCCTCTTTAAACCTCTGTTTTCTCATAAGGAAGTCTCCATATGTAGCATGTACGTCCCACAATTTGGGATTCATCTCTAAACAAACCTTCAGTTTTTCTTCTGCTTTTTTATCGTCATTCTTCTGTTAAAGAACAGATAGCTCAGTGATTACAAATGGAGAGGGTTATAAAATATAGACTATAGTTATGCCTACCGCTAAACAATTAATGTATTTATTACATAATATAATATGTTCAAATCAAATCGATTTTAAATTGACTGGTTCTACAGGCACCTGAATTTTTATCAAATCAATCATATGCTCAGTTTGAAGCCAAATATAAAAAATTCTACCTCCTCTATATAGAGGGGATAGAATTTTTCAATATTTAGCTTACTAGTACTGAGTGTCTGATTGATAAAAATTTAGGTGTCTTTGCTGGTTCTAATCTCTTGCAATACATGTAAGTGTTTTTTTAAAACTCAAATTATAAATACTGATAAATCAAATTTTATAAATTAACTGTAAAATCTCAAATTTTCGTGGTTTGAGGAAAAAACTCTTGGTTCATGGGGATTTGATTTTGTGGATGGAAAACTTTTTAGTACTTATGCCTGTCAAAGTTTTACATTTCCTGAAGGAACTGAGCTTGTGGTTCTCTTCATACCTCGAAAACAACGAAATAAACCCCCACGAAAATCTGTGATTTCACAATAAACAAGAGCAAAACTTGTCATGGTCTTGTGTGATTATACCTGCACATGAAACAAAGTTCTTGTAAAGAATGAGATTTACAATACATGTAGTTTGATTCAGCTTTCAGAGCAAAAACAAATAAAATTTTAAAATAAAAAATACCCTAGCTATTCTCAGCAAAACTGTCATTGCAGAGGTCAACACTAAAGATTTGATTATAGCATTAGATTCTTGGGTTAATTTTGCACTCAAGATAGATTTTCAATCCCAAAATGCCTTGGATACAGACCGATTTGTTTTCAACGTAAAAAGAATTTCACATTCATAAATGCTTAGATAAACAAAATGTTTTATCAAAGGATTTTGTTGTGCTTTTTAGCTAACCTGAATGTACATCTTGGCTTTGTTCAGGTGAGCTATAAGGAAGTGGGGGTCTTTGTCTATGGCCTGCTGGGTAAATTTTATTCCTTCATCAACCCTCCCTGTGTCAGAAAAAGCCTGTCCTAACTTCATCAGTTCTTCTGTACTCTCTACAAATACAAAGGGGGATAAAACACGTAATACAGAAATCCTACACCTGACTTATATCCTCATGACCTTTCATCTTTTCTATACTCTATACTGGAGAAAACGTGTAAACTTGTATATGAAATATTATTATTCTTACTTATATGTAAATTCTATGATATATTTTGGTTGAACTGTCCATGTTTGATATTTACTGTATACAGTGAAAAGTTCAGCGACACAATGTACAAGATTTGCCACTGGCGTGTTCACTTCTACAACTTAGTGCAAGTTCTGGACACAGGTACTTGTATATTACCCCTACCTTGATTTTTTTTTTACATTTTGTATTTATTACACTTCCTTTTCAAATATACGATGCGAAAAAATGAGTTAAAACTTCAGATAACCGTTCCGTACAAAAAATACCCCTATACATGTATACATGATAAGGGAGATCTCCCTAATAAATGTTAAAGGCTTTTTTAAAAACAGATTGTCAATGGTACACATCAGTAAAAGGGTTTTAACATCCTTTTTCTAAAATAAGTGCATGGGGGGGGGGGGGTAGGGGGGTGAGGAAGGTCAAAATATCTCAGAGAGCAAAAATAATGATATAACAATATAAAAGAATGATTTGTGGTCGCACAATCGACTACGTTTTTTCAAATATTTCTACATATCACCAAAAAAGAGTTAAACGAAATATCAAATGCGGAAATTACTTTTAATGTGTTGATTTTTTAAAAATCCATTAAGTTTATATTTTGGGACATTCAGTTCAATTACGGACAAAACTCAAAAACTGTCCAATGATATTTCCCCTATGAATTGTAACACCATCTTCCAGTCATTACTTGATTAGGCCCCTATTACATGTAACTGGAACACCATCTTCCAGTCATTACTTGATTAGGCCCCTATTATATTAAAAAGATCTCAGATGACGAATATTTCTATAAATTCAAAAATATTGGATCGATACGCAAACGTAAAAAAATTAAAAGTTGGAAATTGAAATACGATTTAACTTATAAACAATTTTGAAAACATGAAAACATAATTTTTATGGATCAGTAATATTACTCAAGAAAGACAACTATATCTATGACACCCTATATTTTAACCCTCCAGTCAGGTGAGGGCAAGCTTCCGCCATTTCTTATTATCTGGATTCTTAATTGGACATACATAAATTGGTATTGCCTATTATAATGTATTGTTATATACTGAAATTATTGATTCATAACTTAATTAAGTTATTGTATAATTTACAATGCATAACATTCCTATAAAATAAACTATAGGCAGGTACGTGTATAATGATTTATTTAGATACTGGGTGAAAAGGTACAAGGGTGTAATCCTTTAACACCCTTAGGTTGAAATTAAACTTTTTAAAATTAAAAATCGGTATCACCATAAGCAATTTAAGTTTTAAGGTAACAATTTTAATAAATCAGGACATTTAAATTTGTGAGATTATGAAACATAGAGTAGATATAATATTTACTTTCGTTTTCGACCAAAGATATTTATATGGGCATTGAGAGCCATAATCAATGTCATATCATTCAAATTTTAGATTTGGACATGGATCCCAGCAGCAGTGCCCAGGATGTGATCAGATGTGACCTTTGTGAGACAGCTATAGTACAGATGTACTGTGATTTCTGTCATGTCAACCTCTGTAAACCCTGTATTGGAGAACACATTGCTGATGACTATAGCAAACATCAAATTGTCCAAATTCAGCAAAGGAAATCCACCTTAATTTATCCACAGTGCAATACACATGAAACAAAAAGATGTAAATTTCAGTGTGAAGAATGCAACACATCTGTGTGTTCTTTATGCATTATAACTGATACACATAAGGGACATACCATTTCAACTCTTTTGGATATTTTTAATTCAAAGAGAGAAGTAATTAGAAAAGATACTGAAGAGTTAGAACAAATAATTTCTCCTACGTATGAAGAAATCACAACGGATATAGAAACTCAGATGGCTAATCTGGATGGAGAATATGCAAAACTTTCAACAGCAGTAACAAAACATGGAGAAGAATGGCACAAAGAAATCGACAACATTGTCAACAAACTGACAACAGAAATTGAAGAAGTAAAAAATAAACATTTAAGCATTCTGAAGAAACATTTAGATGAAATCAATCAGATTATATATCAAATTGAGCAAACTTTGCTTCAGTTAAATAGAATAAATGAATCAAATGAAGTGTCTTTGACAATGGAATACAGTTCTAAAAGCGAAGAATTAAGCAGACTACCGCCTAAAGTTAAGATATCACTGCCTGTGTTCAGTCCAAAGGCTAAAGATACAGAACATCTTTATAAATTGTTAGGATCTTTAACAGAATTAACTATGAAAACAGAAGAAAATGGCTACAAACTGAAGAAACCAGAGACAACAACCAGAGAACTGCTTGAAGAACCAGAACTTTTCACCACTATAGATACTGGGTATGAAAACCTCCGTAATGTTGCCTGTCTTAGTGAAGAAGAAATTTGGACAAGTGCACTTGTTGGTGATATGAAATGCTTCAACATTCAAAGCTTACTCATTAAGACAATCAAAACAAAATCAGGGGAATGGCCAAATGACATAGCAGTGACATGTGATGGGGATCTAGTGTACTCTGATGGGACAACAGGGACTGTGAATAAAGTGAAGAATGGACAGATAGAGGAGATGATCAGACTACAGGGCTGGGTACCAGTTAATCTTTGTGTCACCTCCTCTGGTGATCTCCTGGTTACCATGTACATTGATGATAAAACACACTCCAAAGTTGTTCGTTACTCAGGATCCACACAGAAACAAACAATCCAGTTTGATGAGGAGGGTAAACCTCTGTATTCAGGAAATACCAATATTAAGTACATCAGTGAGAACAAAAACCTAGATATCTGTGTGGCTGACGGTGAAGCTGGTGCTGTAGTGGTGGTCAATCAGGCTGGAAAACTCCGATTTAGATACAGTAGTCATCCTTTTCCTACAAAAAACGAACCATTTCAACCTTTTGGCATCACAACAGACAGCCAGAGTCAGATCCTGACAGCAGACTTCAATAACCACTGTATCCACATCCTTGACCAGGACGGACAGTTCCTCTGTTATATAGATAACTGTGGTCTGAAGAATCCATTTGGTTTATGTGTGGACAAAAACAACAACTTGTTTGTTGCTGAGTGGAGTGGAAAGCTTAAGAAAATTAAATATCTTGGATAGACATGTATTTAAGGAATCACTGTCTAGTTAGGAGACTATGCCAGGGCATCAACAATAGTGGGAAACATGGGATAATTTGCATTATAACAAGCGAAGTCCCTTACTAACTAGACAGTGATTCCTTTATTCCTTATATGTCCATTTTTACTTGAAAGAACAAATCTGAAAATAAATCGAAATACCATCCAATTAAGTAGATTTGAAATGCACCAGGCCCCATGACGTCAAGTTTTACTATAAAAAAAGTCCCGTAAAAACATTTTTCCCCACAAAACACTGCCCACAAAGATACTTTTTTGAAGTATTTGACCTCCAAGTCAACATTGACATATGTCGTGCACAGACATGTAGCAAATGACTTTGCAGTGGCGGATCCAGAGGGGGGGGGGGGGGGTTATCTTTGCAACCCCCCCCCCCCCCCCTTGGATTTGCAAAAAAGAAAGAGAAATAGGAAAGTTCCATTTTTTTGTTGTGTTTTTACTATAGAAAATATTAAATGAAAGGCTAATGTTGTAATATATAAAGAAATTCGGTTGTAAAAACAAAATAAAACCCCCTCCCTTTACAAAAGAGGATTTTCAGGTTCACATTTATTTTCCTTTCTTTTTCAAAAACTTTCTGGTAATGTATACAAGTACTTTTCCCCAGATTGATCAACGTCCCACTTTCAAAAACCACACTCCACCCTGTATCGATATTTTATTGAGTTATTTAACTATATATATGTGTACAACGTACGTTTTAACTCTTTTCGCCTTCAATCCCCCTTTTGAAAAATTTCTGGATCCGCGCCTGTTTTGGTCAACCATGAGTTAAAATATTTAGGCACCCTCACAACGTCAAGACCCTGAGTTAATATCAATATGATTCCGTTGGACAAACGACACTATGTGAACTGAGTCAGCTAGACCCCAGGTATAACAAGGGTAGTCCTTGAAACTTCAAAAACAATTGTATCGATCAAAACACAAAATTAATCTTATTAACTCCCAATCATTCAGTCTTTGACATGACAAAACTAAAACATTTCATGTCAATCCATTTTATTTGTAAGTAATAAATAACATTTAAAATTATTTGATCACTTTTGATTAACAATCAGGGACAAAGTATCACAGATATAACGTGGCAAAACGAGATCAAGTATTCAAAGAGAGATAACTCCAACACATTGAAAGGAGATAAATTGGAATGTTACAAAGTTGGGGATGTTGAATAAATTGAAGTATGTTTTTTAATAAGGATTTTTTTCTACTGTGTTATATGCATAAAATACAGATAACAGAATAAAGCAAGCTGGATCAAGAGGTCTGCAAATTTTGGTAAAAAATACGAAAACCGAATTTTTTTAATGCAATGAAATGTTGAATGTAAATATGATTTGGAGATGGAAATATGTGTTTTGTATAAAAATAAATTATATCTACATGTGATTCATTTGAACAAGAAAAAAACTGAATTAATAAAACTTGACGTAAAAAATTATATTATGCTAAGTTGTGTCACATTTTTATACAACTTCCAATATTTGCCTCTCATTTATTTCACACCAATTATAAAATGTAATAGCTGCAAAAAGCCAATGATATACATTTACATGTCATTTAAAAAAATGAATTGGAATGTAATAACCATACATAATCTCCCCATAAATACACTAATGAAATGAAAAAATAAAATCATGATGTAATACATAATTCCCCTTTCCATCCACTTTAAAATTCTTTCCCTTTCTAACCACAAGAAATGAGACAGATTTTTTTTCTCCCCACACACGCATGCAAAAACACAAAAAACAACAATTTAAAATAAAACTTAAGAAAAAAAAAAACAATTTCATGATTATGCTCCACAATGCAGGCATAAGGGCTTTGAACTTGTGACTTGTATAAATAAGCACTATTCTTATCACTGTGTGACTTTGAACTTGTGACTTTTATAAATTAGCACTATTCTAATCACTGTGTGACTTTGAACTTGTGACTTGTATAAATTAGCACTATTCTAATCACTGTGTGACTTTGAACTTGTGACTTGTATAAATTAGCACTTTTCTAATCACTGTGTGACTTTGAACTTGTGACTGGTCTAAATTAGCACTATTTTTTATCACTGTCTGTTCTGCTGTTCTCGTTGGAGTCTTTCTATAACCAGATTTGTCTCCCTTACTCCTTTGTTGTCACCACTTTGTTGCAGGGCATTTCTCAGATTTGCCCAGAACGGAATTATGTCTGGCTTTGCTTCTGTTCCCTGTAAATTAACAAAATTAATGTAATAATCGCCTAATTTCGAGAAGCATCGCTCGCAAAATAAAATTATTTTCTGTAATTTAGGGGAGGGGGGTGAAATCCATGTAAATTCTCTTGATCGACCTTCCATTCACGAAAAAAAATTATTCTCACACTTTGATGTTGAATAGCCATTTTGCGAAAATAAGTACTCGCCAAAAATAAGAAATCTACAGTAATTAATGACCATTTAAAATCCTCAACAATTTTTCATTTCTCATGTAAAAGAAAATGATTATCAAGAAATCGGAAATTTCTAAAACAATTTTGCCAATATCAGAAAAGGTGACGGGGAAATTTTTTAATCATTTCCAGCTTTGTCTATTATGACATTTAAGGTACCTGTTTTGATACCTATTTTTTCCTACCTTTCTAAACATCTGTGCTGCCTCTTTAAACCTCTGTTTTCTCATTAGGAAGTCTCCATACGTAGCGTGTATGTCCCACAACTTCGGATTCACCTCCAAACAAACCTTCAGTTTTCCCTCGGCTTTTTTATCTTCATTTTTCTGTAAAAAGAAACAGATTACCCATGATTATTAATGGAGAGGGCTTATATAGGCTACATGTAGCTAAGCCCGCTGCCAAATCCATTAATTTAACGTATTTATTACATAAAATATGCTCAAATCAAATCAATATAAATTGACTGGTGCTAATCTTTTCTAATTAGAATTTCCTCTACATGTATATACATGTACTGTAACATGCAAGGTATTTACTCAAAATAAAAATGCTACCAAATCAAATTTTATAGATAAACATTAGCAAAACTAATTTTCAATTACTGTCTCATAGTCTTGTGTGATCACACATGAAATAAAGTTCTTGAAAAGAATGAGATTTACAATACTGAGTAGTTTAATTCAGACTTTAGAGCAAAAGCAAATGAAATTTTAAAATTAAATACACTACATATAGCTATTTTCTGCAAAATTTTCATTGATGCCAATATTGAACAACTGTTAATAGCAATTTTTTCATGGTGGATTGCAGATGGTCATGATTTAAATTCAAACTGTTTAGGACACAGATTTGTTCTCAATGTAAAAATGAAATAATAATACAGTACCGACCGGACACAGGCAACCCAGGTTCGCTTCCCGGGTTCACTCGGGGTCCGCTTCGGGTTCGTTTTCAGAAATTTTGGGACCGCTCCGGGTGCGCTTTGGGTGCGCTCCGGGTTCGCTCCGCGTTCGCTCGGGGTCATATGTCCGCTAACAATTTTATTTTTAAACCGCTTTACGCACTGATGCGTGAAGCGGACCCCGTTTTAATCTCACCGCCAGTTAGCCCCGCCCCTTGTTTATTCGTATTGTGGATCGATCATTGTTGTTTTTGCGACGATGCTGACATGTACACTGTACATGTAAACAGTGATATAATGGAGAACATTGATAAATTTTCTAAAATTCAACTGTACATTCGACGAAGGTTTATATGTACATGAATAATTGATTTCATTGATTTTTCGATCCCGAGAAATTAATTTAACGGCCGGTTATAAGGCACTTATTATTCTTATTAATAAGTTATAACGAGAAAACAAAAAAGAAGAGGAAGGAAAGACTGTTGAATTGATTTTCAGTGTATCTAATGGTGTACAAGTGAAACTGACGAAAGAAATCTAAACTTAATACCTTTAAAATTCATGCTTTATGTAGTTTAAAAATACATTTGTTCGCATCTATAAATTACATGTAACCTTTTGTACATCTGATATATTTAGATTTCATTCATAGTAGTTACACATTAAAAGTTCCTAATAAATAATTACCGGACATTTTCTAAAAAAAAAATTACACTGTTTATAAGATTTTTTTCACGGTCAGAATTTTGGAGCGAGTATGATTTTTATAAAATTAAAGAAAAAGGCAAATAATAATTGTTCTCCTGACCCGATAAGAATATATCAATATAGGCCCCCTATTTCACACACACATTGTCTTTATAAAATTCTAATTATTTTATCAATGATTTCTCACTTTACCTGTTACAATAAATTACTGAAAATTTACATCAAAATTATTGATCTTCTTTAATCATGTTAATCTTCTTGATCTGCTTGGGCATGAAAAAAAATCGTATATGTGGAAATCTTCCTTCTGGATGCACAGATTGAAGTCATTCCGCCCTAATGGTATTAACAAACTGAATGACTTCACCAGAATAAACGTGAATTTAACGCAATTCCTGATGTTACAAAAAAAGATTATTCCTTCAATTTAGTGTAACCCTACAGTTAGTTTGCGTTACCAACCCTCGAACAACCCACATAACTACGTATTGCTTACGCCTTTATCAATATTTTTTCCTAATAATTAGTCCAAAACATTTCAATATATTTATATTCAATAAACAGATCATAACTCATATGTTAAAATATCCCTTCTATATTATATTTGTCAGATTATTCTTTGTCAAGTATAGTTACGCCATTTTGAAAGAATGAAACAATGTACGATGTAGAATGATTAATTCGTTCAATTATGGAAATCGCACTTCACCTGAGTTTACCCCGATAAACCAGACGTATTTCATAGCGGTCCGGATTTCTTTCTTTAATAGTGTATATTCATGTATTCATGTATAATTCTACGTGGAAAATTAAAACATAATAATTAATTGCCTTAATAAAAAAAAGAAAATAAAAATAAAAAAATACAACCTGGAGGATTAAAATAAATAAATATTAAATAATATTTTTATAATCATAATAGATTTACACAGCACATTCACACGTTTTGCTTTTATGTACAGGATTTGCATTTATATCGAATTAAATCAACACATTCGATCTTATATCCCAACCGTCGGATTAATATGTTATTTTGATTGGTTGATTCGCTGATTGGTTAATCGCTAATTCTGATTGACAGCTCTGTAAAGAAATACCGAACCTGCGTTCGCTCTCTGGGACCGCTACTGAATTTGGGGTTCGCTCTCTGGGTACGCTTTGTTTCGCTCGGGGTCCGCTACGGGTTCGCTTTTCCGCGAAGAATGCCGGGTATCGCTCGGGGTCAGCCCTAGCGGACCCCGATGAACCCTTGGATTCAGTAAAAATATATTTGCAACTCCGGGTTCGCTTTCTGTTAGGTTGTGTCTGGTCGGTACTGTATCTTGCATTCATAAATGCTTAGATTAACAAAATGCTCTAAGACTTTCTAAGGATCGATTTTGCTTCTGTTAAGCTAACCTGTATGTACATGTACATCTTGGCTTTGTTCAGGTGAGCTATAAGGAAGTGGGGGTCTTTGTCTATGGCCTGCTGGGTAAATTTTATTCCTACATCAACCCTCCCCGTGTCAGAATAAGCCTGTCCTAACTTCATCAGTACCTCTGTACTCTCTACAAACACAAAAGGAGAATATAACATACATGTAATACAGAAATCCTATATCCTGACTTCTACAGTGGTAAAATTTAATGATTGGGACAAGAAAGAAAAAAATCATTTTATAGCTTCATATGAGAGCTATGTAATGTTTGAAGCCATATGCTATATCAATATGCATTCTAAAACAATGCTGCTAATTATTTCTGCCAATTAAATTTTAGAGGCCAACTATTCTAACAAAAGATAACATTTTACATTAATTAATCAATAGGGAATGCAAAAACAAATATTGGAATTCAAAGAAAAACTATCATGGACTACATGTATCTACCAGGTAGAAGTTTATGGAGCTTCTGAAAAATTTGGATCCTCTCCTGCAGAAGTCGATCTCTGGTGGCACCAGGTGTAGCTTGTTCCAGATTCAGCTCTGTGAAAATCAGTATTTAGTCTTGAATATGTGCAAAAGTAAGAATTTATCCAAAACTAATTCAGTTCTGAGAGCCAACAAATTTGAATAAGAGGTCAATGGACCACAATAGGCTCATTTCAAGTCCTTGAAATAGCCCTAGCTGTCATCCTATAAGGAATTTTAATTCCCATGAATTTTTATATTTATGTTATGAATTATTATGTGCACTGATTAACTGACCTTTGTAGAAGAGTTTTTCAGTTTCTATGGAAGCCTCTTTCTTCTGTATTCCAATAGCTACTGTGTCTCCCAGGTTAATAGTGCCATGGTAGGTTCCCCCTGGCTATAACAGAAAAAATATAATAAAACTTTGCTACAAATTGAATCGAAAGTTTGTTAAAGAGGAACATAAAATTTCACATGAATAAAGAATCTTATACTGTAGATTCCTTATTTTTAACGAGTACTTATTATCGCAAATGGGCTCTTTAACGGCGAATCGCGAGAATGATAATTCGTGAATGGACGGTTGATCGAGAGATTTTCCACAGATTTCATCATAAAACTGAATAAAGGCGAGTAATTTTATTTCGTGTGTGCCACTTCTCGCGAAGTTACGCGATAATTAATTTCACGCGTATATTTAGGAATCACACGACACAGTTTAATACTGATTTGTTTGAGTTTGAGTACTTTACATGCTTTGGTGAATTTACTGACAACAACTCAGAACTCGACTTTCAGTAATTAATTTTTAAAGATTTTTTTTTTGAATTTTCATTACATAAAATACCTTGATCAAGGTATTTTAAATACCTCGATAAAGCTATATAGCTTTATCAATTAAGCTATATACATGTACCTTTATCGAGGTATTGTGCTGGGCCTGTTAAATGCAACGCATTGCAAATAATAGGATATAGCCTTAATATTACTCAAGAAAGATAACTATATTATATGACATCCTATATTTTAACCTTCCAGTCAGGTGATATCAAGCTTCCGCCATTTCTTATTTTCTGGATTCTTATTTGGACATACATAAATTGGTATTGCCTATTATAATGTACAAGTATTGTTATACATCTGAACTTATTTGATTTAACTTAAGTTATTGTATAAATTACAATGCATAACATTTCTATAAAATAAACTAGGCAGGTACATAATGGATTACTGAGTATTTAGATACTGGGTGAAAAGGTACATGGGTGTTATTCTTTAACACCTTTAGGTTGAAATTAAACTTTTAAATAAAAATCGGTATCACCATAAGCAATTTAAGTTTTAAGGAAACAATTTCAATATATCAGGACATTTTGATTTGTGAGATTATGAAATATAGAGAAGATATAATATTTGCTTTCGTTTTCGACCAAAGATATTTATATAGGCATTGGGAGCCATAATCAATGTCATATCATTCAAATTTTAGATTTGGACATGGATCCCAGCAGAAGTGCCCAGGATGTGATCAGATGTGACTTATGCGAGACAGCTATAGTACAGATGTACTGTGATTTCTGTCATGTCAACCTCTGTAAACCCTGCATTGGAGAACACATTGCTGATGACTATAGCAAACATCAAATTGTCCAAATTCAGCAAAGGAAATCCACCTTAATTTATCCACAGTGCAAAACACATGAAACAGATAGATGTAAACTTCAGTGTGAAGAATGCAACACATCTGTGTGTTCTTTATGCATTATAACTGATACACATAAGGGACATACCATTACAACTATTTTGGATATCTTTAATTCAAAGAGAGAACTCATAGGGAAAGATACTGAAGACTTAGAACAAATAATTTCTCCAACTTATGAAGAAATTGCCTCTGATATAGAAGCCTAGATTACTAATCTGGATGGAAAATATGGAAAACTTTCAACGGCAGTGAAACACAATGGAGAAGAATGGCACAAAGAAATTGACAACATTGTCAACAAACTGACAACAGAAATTGAGGAAGTAAAAAATAAACATTTAAGCATTCTGAAGAAACATTTAGATGAAATTAAGCAGATTATATATCAAATTGAGCAAACTTTGCTTCAGTTAAATAGAATAGATGAATCAAATGAAGTGTCCATGACTATGGAATACAGTTCTAAAATCGAAGAATTAAGCAGACTTCCGCCTAAAGTTAAGATATCACTGCCTGTGTTCAGTCCAAAGGCTAAAAATACAGAACATCTTTTTACATTGTTTGGATCTTTAACACAATTAGCTACCAAAACAGAAGAAAATGGCTACAAACTGAAGAAACCACAGACACCAACCAGAGGACTGCTTGAAGAACCAGAACTTATAACAACAATAATTACTGGTTATGAAAAACTTCGCAGTGTCACCTGTCTCAGTGAAGAAGAAATCTGGACAAGTGGAGCAGTCGATGGTATGAAATGTTTCAACATTCAAGGTTCACTCATCAAGACAATCAAAACAAAATCAGGGAAATGTCCAAATGATATAGCAGTGACAAGTGATGGGGATCTATTGTACACTGACTGGGAAACAAGGACTGTGAATAAAGTAAAGAATGGACAGACAGAGGAGATGATCAGACTACAGGGCTGGAGACCTTTACAACTCTGTGTCACCTCCTCTGGTGATCTCCTGGTTAATATGTGCAGTGATGATAAAACACAATCCAAAGTTGTCCGTTACTCAGGCTCCACTGAGAAACAAACAATCCAGTTTGATGAGGGGGGTAAACCTCTGTATTCAGGAAACAGCTTCTTTAAGTACATCAATGAGAACAGAAACCTGGATATTTGTGTGGCTGACAATGGAGCTGGTGCTGTGGTAGTGGTTAACCAGACTGGTAAACTCCGATTTAGATCCACTGGTCATCCTTCTGTTACAAAAAACAAACCTTTTCAACCCTTTGGCATCACAACAGACAGCCAGAGTCAGATCCTGATAGCAGACTTTAATAACAACTGTATCCACATACTAGACCAGGATGGACAGTTCCTCCGTTATATTGATAACTGTGATCTGAAGGATCCATATGGTTTATGCGTGGACAAAAATAACTGTTTGTTTGTTGCTGAGTGGAGAGGAAAGCTTAAGAAAATTAAATATCTTAGATAGACATGCATTTAAGGAGTCACTGTGTAGTTAGGAGAGTATGCCAGGGCATCAACAATAGTGGGAAACATGGGATAATTTGCATAACGGGCGAAGCTAAAATTATCCCATGTTTCCTGCTATTGTTGATGTCACTGGCATAGTCTCCTCACTAGACAGGGATTCCTGATATTTCCATTTTTACTTGAAATAAAAAATAAATCAAAATACCGTCTAATTTAGTAGATTTGAAATGCACAAGGCCCCGTGACATCAAATTTTACTATATAAAAATAGTCCCATAAAAACACGGAACAAATTTATGGATTATTTAGTATTTTTTCCACAAAAAAAAAAAACATTGCCCACAAAGATACTTTTTTGAAGTATTTGACCTCCAAGTCAACATTGACATATGTCATGCACATACATGTAGCAAATGACTTTGGTCAAGCATGAGTTAAAATGTTTAGGCACCCTCACAACATCAAGACCCTGAGTCAACATCAATATGATCCCGTTGGACAAACGACACTGTGTGAACTGAGTCAGGACCCCGGGTATAACAAGGGTAGTCGTTGAAACTTCAAAATCAAAACTCAAAATTACTTATTAACTCCCATTCACTCAGTCTGGGACATGACAAATCTAACACATTTAATGTTAATCTATTTTTATTTGTGAGTAATATATAACATTTATAATTATTTCATCACTTTTTATTAACAATCAGGGACAAAGTATCACAGATATAACGAGGCAAAACGAGATCACAAATATTCAAAGAGAGATAACTCCAACACATTGAAAGGAGATAATTGGAATGTTACAAAGTTGGGGAAGTTGAACAAAATGCAGTTTAATAAAGATTTTTTTCTACTGTGTTAAATGCATAAAATACAGATAACAGAATGAATTAAACTGGATCAAGAGGTCTGCAAATTTTGGTTAAAAAAAACCCATGAAAACAGATTTTTTAATGCAAATATGATTTAATTTTGGAGATGGAAATATGTGTATTTATATAAAAATAAATTAATCTATTATGTGAACCTTTTGAACAAGAAAAAAATTGAATTAATAAAACTTGACATAAAAAATTATTTTATGCTAAGTTGTGTCACATTTTTATAAAAAGTACTAACAATATTTAAATTGTCTCTCATTCATTTCACACCAATGATAATAGCTGCAGAAAGCCAATGATATAAAATACAATGTGAAAAATATGAATTGGAATGCCATATTAATCGTACATAATCTCCCCATAAATACACTCATAAACTGAAAAAAATTACATAGTAATAATTAAATTATTCCCATTTCCATCCATAATAAAATTTCCCTTTCTAACACAACAAATTTCATGATATGCTCCACAATGAAGGCACAAGGACTTTGAACTTGTGACTGGTATAAATTAGCACTATATTCTAATCACTGTGTGACTTTGAACTAGTGACTGGTATAAATTTAGCACTATTTTTATCACTGTCTGTCCTGCTGTTCTCGTTGAAGCCTTTCTATAACCAGATTTGTCTCCCTTACCCCTTTGCTGTTACCGCTTTGTTGCAGGGCGTTCCTAAGATTTGCACAGAATGGAATCATGTCTGGCTTTACCTGTGTTCCCTGTAAATTGATCAAATTAATAAGATACATAATACTGTGAATTTCTAATTATACGCAAGGAATTTTAAAAATTATTACATCATTTTGCATGAAGCATCGCTCGCAAAATAAAATTACTCTGTTATTTTTTTTTGGCACTGAAATCCATGTAAATTCTTTTGATCAATCTTCCATTTGTGAAAAATTATTCTCGCACTTTGATGTTGAATAGCCATTTTGCGATAATAAGTACTTGCGAAAAATAAGGAATTTAAGTAGTTAATGTCCATTTAAAATCCTCAACAATTTCTCATGTATAAGATAGAAAATGATAGTCAAGAAATCGGAAATTTCAAAAAACAATTTTGCCAATTTCAGAGATTTTTTAGGTGAAAATTTTAATCATTTCTAGCATTGTCTAATGATATTAAAGGTAGCTGTTTTGGTACTTATTTTTTCTTACCTTTCTAAACATTTGTGCTGCCTCTTTAAACCCCTGTTTTCTCATTAGGAAGTCTCCATATGTAGCATGTACGTCCCAAAATTTGGGATTCATCTCCAAACAAACCTTCAGCTTTTCTGTCAATAAAAATAAACAAAACAACTTCGTTATAATCCTGAATTTGCTATATCTGTGTTCTTACTAAACGAGTTTTGCTGTACACAGTAGATTTTATCAATTGTTATTCTACCTGTAATCTCCTGCAATTAAAATTTCATTTATATACAAGTACATGTAAGATATTTATACCTAAAATAGAAAATATTGTCAAATCAAATTTTATAAATTAAACAAGACAAAACTTGTTTTCAATTACTATCTCATGACCTTGTGCAATATTATACCTGCACATGAAACAAAGTTCTTGTAAAGAATGAGAATTACAATAGTTTAATTAATCTTTCAGAGCAAAAACGAATGAACTTTTAAAAATCAATTACACTAGCTATTTTCTACAAAATTTTATTGATGCTTGATGCCAATATTAAACAACTGTTTTTAATTCAAAATATTCAGGGCATAGATTTATTATCAATGTGAGAAAAAAATAAGCTAGCACTCATAAATGCTTAGATAAAGAAATTTCTCCTTCTTGAGAGTAAGCTGCTGTATAGCTAACCTGTATGTACATCTTGGCTATGTTAAGGTGAGCTATAAGGAAGTGGGGATCTTTATCTATGGCCTGCTGGGTAAATTTCATTCCTTCATCAACCCTCCTTGTGTCAGAATAAGCCTGTCCTAACTTCATCAGTACCTCTGTACTCTCTACAAATACACAAGCAGAATACAACTTGTAATATAGAATTCATGTCCTGAATTAGACAGTGCTATGTATGGAACAACAAAGATAAAATCACTTGATTAAGCTTCATTTGAGCTATTATGTTTGAAGCCATGCTGTATTAATCTGCATTCAAAACATTTCTGTTCTTTATTTCTGCCCAATTTAAGAGGCCGACTATTTAAAGATAATTTTTTTTACATTAAATAATCTATAGGGAATGCAGAAACAAATGTTGGAATTCAAAGAAAAAACATGATTATCTACCAGGTAGAAGTTTATGGAGTTTCTGAAAAATTTGGATCCTCTCCTGCAGAAGTCAATCTCTGCTGGCACCCGCTGTCGCTTGTACCAGATTCAGCTCTGTAAAAATCAATGTTAAGTTTTTGAAAATGTACAATAGTAAGTCCAAAACTAAAATCATAGGAGTTCGCGTACCTATCCATTTTGCCGTAATATTCGGTAAATAAAAAAGATACGTAATACATATAATAATAACACCCTTGTGTTATTATTATACGTACTGTAAATCACTTTTTATTCGCGAGAACTTTATTTTCGCGTAACTACGCGAAACAGTATGTTTGCGAAAATTTCATTCTCGCGTATAATAGAATTCCTTAAGATTATATAGAGCAATGACCACAATTCGTGAATATTATGTCTCGCTTATATAGAGTCAATGACTATCTCCCGACAATAAGGTGTCGCGAAAATTAAGTGATCTTCAGTATTACGTATTTTTTATGTAATGAAAATTGAATAAGAGGCCAATGGACCACAATAGGCTTAGTTCAGTTTCTTGAAATATAGCCCTGTCATCTTATATGGAATTTTTATTCCCATTAATTTGTATATAAATTTATGTAATGAATTATTATGTGTACTTATTTTTTTACCTTTGTAGAAGAGTTTTTCTGTCTCTATGGAAGCCTCTTTCTTCTGTATTCCAATAGCTACTGTGTCTCCCAGGTTAATAGTACCATGGTAGGTCCCCTCTGGCTAAAACACACAAAATACACTGAAAAATTTACTACAAATTGAATTGAAAGTTTGTTAAAAAGGAAAATAAATTTACAAATGAATAAAGAATCTTATATATTACAGTATAAACTATAACTTTGTGTCACATAAAATTCTCTGAAAGCAGTAAAACGCTGTTCAAACTCAGATATCCTGAACACCATGGCTATGTCAATTTAGTGATTTGGTATTCCTCCAGTCCTTTTTTTTATTTTAGACCAAATATCTCTTGCCTTCTTAATCATCTCAATGTTTGAACTCGGTCCCACTTAGTTTTAGATAACGAGGTTTGACTGTGAGTTAATTACCAGGTACAGTATTTCCCCTGCCTCCTAAACACACTCCATGGGTAGATCCTCCCCCGACAGGGAGGGGTAAATCCTGTCATACCACTCCATCTGGGTAAAGCCAAGGTACATGCCTGAAATCAGAGACAAAAAATTATATAAAAATTTATACAAAAGAAAAATAATAATTAGCTGGTAGTTAATTATGACATTAGATTATTTATAGACTAGCTAATGGGAAACAAACTATTTACTGCATTTAATAAATTTCGAAAATAAATTAAAAAGAACCCCATTAACTATCATTTTATTTTTCCATTAGATACAATTACTTAATATGCTTGTACAGCATAGGAAATATTATGAATGTATTTTAACAATACAGAAAATTCTCATCAAAAAGAATAGTTAGTTTCTATTTATAGGTTTTGCATTATCTTGAAATAATTAAAGTGTATGAAAATATTTTAAATATGTTTA